CATTATATATATATATATAAATTGTATACTATATACTATAATCTTTTATGCCAATTTTATTATGGATATCAATATCATTTATCGCAAATTTCGTTAACATTTATCAATATAAAGTATGAGTACATAATTAAAAAATTATGAACAATTAATATGGCGAAGAGCGCAGACATATTTCACAAATACTTTAAAAGCCTTGTAAGTTTCCCTAACCATGGGCTTTATTTTTTCTATTGGTGTTATAAATCCTTCGCCATAATCTGGTAATTCCATGGTATAAACTAGTGGCACCTTTGCCACTTGCATCGCCCAATCGTCGCTTGCTCCAGACGCTAAATCTAAATTTGTTTTAACACTGTGATTATACATACATAAAATGCATATAATTAAAAAATCGAATAATAGATTTTTTGCTGTATGTCAAGATAGTTGCCATCATGACTTACAGAGGACATTTGCAGAGCTGCCAATAGTATAATCCTGTCCGTTCAGCTGTTTCAATTTGTGCGCTGCAATCTTCGCTAATTTGTCCTAAAATAATTATATATATATATAACTTGTCGGCAGCTAATTTGTAATTTAAAGCCATTCGCCTTCTTCAAGAGTTCAACTGTTCAAACAAAATTCACATAAACTATTTTTTTAATATTACTAAAATTCGAATAAAATTCAAATAAATCATCTAAGTATGTAAATATAAATAATTTCAAAGAATAATATTTCTCAATATTTGTTCAACATTTTTAGGAAACTGTGTACCAATTCCTGCCAATTACTCGGCAAAGACTTTGTGAAACCCCAAGGATACAGCAGCATCTGTGAGAAAAGAAAATAGTTATAATTACGTTATTTAATTATTTATATAAAAATAAAGATGTCTTGAATACTACCGGGCCGTAACTGTGAAAGGTAAGATATAAATCTGGTTCGATCGCTAAAATAGTATCGCGTATCGCTTGCGTTTCCGGTTCTGAAAAAGCTTCAAGTCCTGGAAATATGTCCGAGCAGGGATCTGGACTGGCTCCAAACTCTTAGAAATTGAGAATTATTACATTTACATCGATATAAGCATGAGAAAAAATGTCGACACTCTTCATTAAATCGAATACACATTAAAATAGAAACTTAAACGTGTCATCATTTTCTTTACACACTTTAACAAATAAAAGAAAATAGTTAAACAAATTATCTGTGCTAAATTGAACAAGTACCGGCCCAGTGTGAATTAAAATTGCGATTTGCGTCAGTCCCGACACATTCGGTGCCATCAATTCTCGATCTAGTCTTTCGCCAGAAACGATCTACAGTGTGGGAGTACTCATATCCGTCTGGGTTCACTACAGGGATAACATAAATTGAAATTTTCTCATGCAACGTATCCTCGTGATCAACCATCATCTTCATCAAGTATAAGGCTGTAATCGGAGCCGCCCATTCGCGAGCGTGAATACCAGCGTCAATAAATATTTTCTGATAAGGAAATATCAATGAATAGTTAACTTATATGCTAAAATATTTATATACGTATATTTAATTTAAAAATTAAATAAGTTGAAAATAGTACAAATATTTTACTCTTAGCAATATATATCTCTTTCCCAATAGATTAATTAATTTCGCAAGCTTATGGAAAATAGATAAATTACCGGAATATTCTTAGATCCTTCTATTTTCAAGCCGATAATTGGTCTTCCTTCGAAACTATTTCCTATATTAATAATCTCCGCGTATTTACTGTGTCTCACTAAATTATGTATGAAATTAATAATTTCTTCATATCGCAGAAATCGGTCAAAATCGAAGCTATTTTTCGAGGTGCCGATAAATCGACGCGTATTTTGGCGTCGAGCCTTTCTTGACCGATCTACGACGCTTTTTATATTCCTACGAAGCACCTTGAAAAGTAATTAATAAAATTGTGATTGTTGCAAAAAAAACGTATATATATAGAAGCAAACATTGTCTAAATGTATTTACAAAAAAACATAAAATTGATAAAATATAATTAAAAACTATATAGCATAAATATAGCACACAAAATAATAAAATTAGACGTGGTTTATTATATTTACTCCTATAATAAATTAATAATCTTAATCAATAATCATTAAACTGTGGAAAATAAATACTTTTATAGAAATTCCTGTCTCATTCATCATGTCCTTGAATGCATTTTCAAGATATGGCGGTACCAAAATCTTCGTGCCATTTGTTCGCGACCGACCCCATACATCATACCCCGACTTTTCGATCTTCATCAATACTGATTCTTGATACCGCGTTACTGGGAAAGCCTCGTACAATTTATAGCTAAATTATTCCAATTTTTGTATTGGAAAGCAAGTAATTTGTAGAATCAACGATATTAAACTCTTTATAATAAAATTATTCAATTTTTTTCGTAATGAGAAAAAGATTTGTAAAATTAATAATCTTGTATCTTTTTTTTATATTTGTGTTGTCATTTTTCTCAGTAAAAAATAATTTTCAAAGTTATTTGTTTAAAATACTCCTTGTATCATAAAATAGATAATTATAACGCAAGATAAGAAACAAAATTTTCCAAGAAGTAAAACTGTTTTTTTTTTACATAATTGCTTATGACTCACCCGTCATAATTTATCCCACAAATTGATGTGATAAGAATTGATATCTGATAAACCATACACAACTTGCAAAACATATTTCAAATTAGCTTATATCTTGTATTATTGAGCTATTTTATTGAATCTCTCACGTATTTCAATAATTCAAAACGTTAAGCTCTACGTTTGAGCTTATTCGTAACGAACAGTTTACAAAATACTGAACTCAATCCACTGATTGAGCGAGCTTTGTTCATATTTTAACGACGATATTTATGATGATTCGATTTTCTTGTTTGGACTCTATTATGGTCACATATGATAGGTTTAATTGAAAAAGTATTGATAAAGCAACCATGGCAAAATTATTTGCTACGCTTAAATTAGCAATTAACCAATACAAACATAGTTTCATATAAAACATATATATTTATCCTCAATACAATTTGAAAGAAGCAATGATGAAAGTAGAATTAAGATAATTCTTGAAAATTTTTATGATGAAATAAACACAAGACTTGTATTTTTTAAAAATTTTAATTTTATATAAATGGTAACAAAGTATACAATATTGGTAATACATGTTTAAATAAATCTTTGTAATCGTTTGTTAATAATATAAAATAAATATCTCTATAATCCCTCGCGAATATTGATGGATCCTCTTCTTCAGCGCAATTATGCATTGTAAATTATAAAACAAAGTCATCCATCTTCAATATTCTTTTGGGAATTATAATAGATGTCTAAATTAAAAAAAGAAATTTGTTAGACATTACAAAATTACATATCACGTATTATATAATATTAATATTATGTAATTATAAAATAAAAATTTTTATCAAACCTTTGTAAATCTTTTGCCGCCTGGTATATCTTTCCGCAGTATCTCATCCGTGAATTCTTGGTTCAAGTATTTGTTGTACCAGTTATCTCCCTAACATTACGGACGATATATTTTATATATTCATTATTACACTATTATTTTTATAATTATTAATAATTATTAACTCACCTTTCTTCGAGGTTCTTCATTTTTTACATGTATTTCTTGCATTTGAATCTTTGTTGCTCTTCTATCTTCCTGATTTCTTTCAGAATTAAAAGCAAAATTAAAATCTTGTTCTTTTGATAAATCCTGCGACTTTTCAACTTTAGAGCAACTGTTTTCCGACATATTTTTTTTGTTACCTCGTTGTACATAGATCCCAATATTATCAGTTTCTTGAATCGATATAATTCGTGGCTTTTTTGAATTTTCAGAACTTTTACAGTTTTCCCAATCTATACTTACACTGTTAGTAGTGCTTACTTTATCTTTTTCAACAGTCGTATTATTTTTTTCACGATTTAAATCATACTTTTCTGAAATCAAATTATTCTGTTCATTTGTCAAAGGAATTTTTGATTGTTGAGATTTGAGTTTATCGTCTTGCAATCTATCTTTTTGCTGTTGATTATTTTTCGCAGAAAATACATTATTACTTTCACGAATTGCATTATTTTCTTCGTTTATAAGAATATTTTCTCGCTGTTGTAATTCAACTTTATTTCCCCTTAATATATTTTTCTTTTGATTATTTTCTGCAAAAATCAAATTGTTTTTTTCAAAAGATTCCTTTTCTTGTAAGACATTTTCTTGCTCTTTTTCTGTGGCACAATCATTTGTAATGTATTTGTCATTAAAGTCAAAAGTTTCAGAAATAATTACAGCTTGTTTCTGATTATTCCTATTAGGAGAATTATTAGTGACATCTTTTTCTAAAGAACAGCTTTCGGGTATAATTTGCAATTGTTCGGAAAAATGAATCTTTTTCGAAATATTTCTATCACTTTGGGTTTTTGACGCAATGTTGCTTTTGTCAGAAATATTTCTCTGCTCACTTTCATTAGAAGAGCAAGCTATTTTCGAAATGCTCTCACTGTTTTGAAAGTCGCTAGTTTCAGGAATTATTTTGCGATTGATTTCTATTGCATAAACATCCTGCGTGTCTTTTACTGTGTTCTTACTGGCGTTAGAGTCATTTTCCTGTTCACTTTCATTAGAAGAATGGGCCTTCTTCAAAATAGGCTCACTATTTTGAGACTCTAAAGTTTCGGGAATAATTTTTCTTTTAATTTGTCTATTTTCTATCTTACCAGTATTTTGCGTATCCTCGATTATCGTGATGTCAGAAAGAGAAAACGTTCGAGATTTTGATTTCAGAAATGTGGTAAAGTCGAATTTGGAATTGCAATATTTTTCCGTGGAGCAATATAAAATGGCGAGTGGAATTTCGGTGTCAGAAACCAGTCTACGTTTGATGGCTTGTAGTTTACAATCTGCAATAATATAAAATATTATACACATATATTGTATATTCACTGCTTCTATTTGTTTTAATGATAACACTCAAACACTCACATATGATATGATAATCATCAGCAATATCTTGAGTGAGCAGAGTAGAATCGCTGACAGGTTGTTGTATAACGATAGCATTTTTTGCGGTGAGATCCCGGGGGGTCAAAGGTCTCCTTGTAGGATACACGCATGATTTGCCACCTGTATATATATATAATACGTTTTAATTTTCTTTTTATCCCTATATACAAAATTTTATTTTTATATATATGTAAAGATCTAGATCAGAATTAATTACCTGCTGCAGTAATCAATGGTGCATATGCATGATACTGCTTTATGCAAAAATGTACAAATGACAAGCCTTTGAAAAGTGTTCTGCGCTTTTCATTCGGCAGAAATAATCTTGGAGAAACTTTCAGCCAGTCTTCTTTTACTATTGGTAGAAAAGTCTCAGCTTCTGGCAATTCTTTAGATTCCTCAATGGCCACATTTACTGCTTCCCAATATGCAATTGTGATAATCGGTTTAGCTGAAGCTAATGCATAAGCTAACTGCACAAAATAAATAATGCAAATATTAATAAAAAGAAAATTTGTCTCACATCCATCCTTCTTATATTTTTGTAAAATTTTTCTTGCTTGACAAGTCTATGTTTGATTCTTTAGTACAGAATTAAAAACATTGCTCAAAATTATTAAATAAATAATATAATTTGTGATTAAATAAACCAAATTATATATTTTACTTTTACTATAAATAAAATCTTTTCAAGTTGCAAAAATTTAATATTTTTGTTATTTAGAAGGTTTACAAAAAAATTAAAGATAGAATAAGAAATAATGCTTAATAACTTGAAAAGCATTAAATAATATATAATAATTCTCAAGTAAACAAATCTATATAAAATCTTACTTTTGTGGTAAATAGAACGCTTTTAGCAACTGTCAAGTGAGTACAAGAATTCTCCCAAGTTTCCAACAATTGTCCCCCAATATGGTCTATGATATTCTTTAATCTATTCAGTTCCTCTTCGTTCAAACTGGATCTTGCAGTCACAAATGAATGGTGTTGGACACTATAACAAATTTATTATCAAAATAAATCAATTGATTTATTAGATATAAAAAAATAAATCATTGTATTGGAAGTGAATTATTATTATAATCTTACACAAATGTTGCTTCTTTCAGGCCAAATTGCACTATATCACCAGCTTTCAGAAGAAATGTTTCATTTTTAGATAGTTTTATCTTTTTGTCATCTCTTGTAACAAATGTTCCATATTTAGATACATCATTAATAACACATTTATATTGTATCTGAAAAAAATATAATAATTTTAATTTTAAAAAATAAGTTTTACAAAAAATATGCAGAACAGATGAAATGGGATAAAAATAGATTACATTTAATTCTCCTGTTGATTCCACAGAAACTACCGCATGAAGTCTGCTGATTGTGGCATCTTCTTCCAGCTTAATATCACTTGATTTGCCAAAAGATTTCTTCTGATTTGGTAAAATGTAGACGCAAAGGTCTAAAACAATAAATCGTTAATTTTAAAACAATATAATTATACACTAAAAATTTATTATTATTTTACCTTTCTGTCCTTTGAAACACCACATATTCCACACCACAATTCAATTCACATATGAACTGACAGAATAGAAACAATATACTCTGAGCATAGGCAAAAGATGTATAGACACACACCACACACACACACGCGCGCGCGCGCGCGAATCATTATCGTTTGTCCAAAAAGATTGAGCTTTCTATTGGTTATCATTCGACGTAGATATCCAATAGAATGATTTATTTTCTAGAGATGAAAATATCGTCAATAAAAGTCCCTAGGCAGTAGTTACTTTTTCAATATCGACATATCCGTCAAAATTGCAACACTTTATTTATTAATTTATAACGCATTAAATCACAAGTTATTTCAAAAATCATGATGACGTATTTTAGCCATTTTAAGGTTAAATCAGATTAAGCGCATACTGCTGTACGCCGCTAAATTGAACATAATGTGAATTGTTCATTGCACAGGTAAGAAGTATAATTATCTAAGAATTAAGAATAATAAATAATTATTTTATATAAATACCATATACATGATATGAGATTTATATACATATAGATGTATGTATGTACGTAACAAACAATACGTATGTACGTAACAAACAATACGTATGTACGTAACAAACAATACGTATGTACGTAACAAACAATACGTATGTAAACTAAATGCATATAATTAAAAATAAATGACATAAACATGTAATAACATAAAAATAAAAATAGCATAAGAGTTTTTTCACATAGACTTTATGTAATAATTCTAAAAGTTTAAATAAATTTATAGCCTTTTTTTAAATTTAGTACAAATAAAATTTAATTTAAAAAACAATGGAATAATAAAACACAGTTTATCCTGAGCAGGTTTTAGGACATTAAATATCTTGATTTCTCCTATTTATGGATTTTTAAGTATCAGAAACCTCACTTTTCAATGTCTTTTGCAGAAGCCGAACATAGAATGAGAAAGAGCCTCGAAAGTAATTATCCTTCCTGATTTATCGCGGCAGGAATATTCGAAGTCTCTCTCCCTGTCTCTCATTTATCCTACAGAACGTCCTGCCACTATCGCATCAGTAATAAATTCTTTGGCTATTTTGAGATTGATTTGACCTTATCAAGAATATTCAGGTACTGGTCATCTTTAACATTATTAATAAATTATTTAAAAATCAAATCAATACCATTTAAACCAATTAACATTTAAATAGGTATCAATTTGCTAAAATCAATGCAGTTTAATTAATTAATGTATTTAATTAATTAATAAAACATAGAAATCAGATAATTTTTATTATAATTTTCACGATAAGGATTATCAACAGTTTGCAAGTTAATTAACAATAATCGTGTTGTGTTTTTAAACATTTTATGAACTATTTTGAATTATTATTCTGTAGTATCTGATATATCAAGCGTTGCTATATAAATATTAAATAAAAATTTTAAAAACTTTTAATTAATTTAATGTAGATAATGATATATATGTATATATTAAATAACAATGATAAAAATAAATTGAAGCAAAGTGTTTTGTATTACAGAGGGTTTTATGTTTCCATATTCTGGATATAAATTGAGTTGAACATATAAATTGCAAGCTTCATACTTTGCAATAATCAATAAAACCTTGTACATATAATCTTTAAATTTTTAATTACTTATAACCGCTTTTGCAATGTTTGATAAGTCATTTACAACAATAATAATAATTGTGTTGAAAATTTCTATTTCTGCGATATTCATGACTAGAATTTTGGAACAGATCGGGAGATTAAAAACCAGGAAGCATTTGGAAACTTGTAATCGAGTCCCAAATGAGCATTTTGAGAACTTTCTTTTTAGCAAACAACACAACAATGCCTGTAACTCGGAAATAAAATTAGACCGGATAAGCTACTTGATAGCGCCGCGATGCCATGACATAAGCGTAGGCGCACGGTCAGTCGGCTTTTATGTACTTGGCGTCGCAATGCTACCGCGTCGCGTGATAAGATCTATGTAAATTCATTTTATTATTCTAATGTGCTGTGTTCTCTCCCTGAACTTATGCCCGCTAATAACGAAACGTTCTGTATAGGGTGAATGCGCTGAATCGAACAGACGACTATCAAAATACTGCGAGAAGCTTGATTTTAACATTATAAATTTCCTTTTTATTCAGCGGGATATTTTGACAAAACATTTTTTTAGCTCCGCACTTGCATGATCTTCTTTCTTCATTTATTTAATATGTTGACACGATGTGATAATTATTTTTACATGATATAGTCTTTTTCGACTTGTTTTCTAATTTTATGATTGAACTTTTCCGAAAATGTTTCATAAGATTATTCGCACGACGGACTTTTATGGCACAGTTTTTTGATTGATTTTTTTGCGTAGAATAATCAGACTGTCGCTGATAACGCGACACCCCGTATATAGATGAGGGAAATGGTGGGGAGTTTGATAGAAACTCGGAGAGGGAGTTACATCTGACTCAGTTTCCTCTCGTACAACATTGCGCGAGGTCACCCTTCTCATCCCCTTAGTGTACTCTCTCCGGCACAACCCTCCTCTTCCGCTCCCTTCTTCGCCTGATCGCCTGTGTCGTCTTCATCGTCGTCCGTGTCTTTTCACTCTGAGACAAAAAACTTGGCATAAAAGTTACTCGCGCGTGTGTTTTATCATAGGAGAAAAGTGATAAAAGTGAAAAGTGAAAAGTGATCTTTCCGGTGTTATTTTTGGAGCAAATTTCGCACTTTATCGTGGATGGATGATTATGACGAGATATCATTGGAGGCTATTAGTGTCATTGCTGCTGACATTCAGATGCATTCCAGGTATTTGCGACATTTGGGATATACTATACGCACATTCCATGTAATTAGAGGCAATATTGAGTATTTTAACCTCAGTTACTGGAAATTGTTTTTCTCTTTTTTTTTGTCTGTTATTTTTCCTTTTGAAAACTTTGTCTTTGCTCGCTTCTAATTAACTAAAGGAAAAAGTGTTTATTACATTAATTAAAGGAGAACTGAAATTTATGAAGACTTGTTGCTTATTTTGTCGCTGAACACACTTTGCAAGTATCCTCCAAGTTTCTTCCGGATTCACCCTGTACATCGCGGAAAGCCTGTTCACGTGCACTATTTCTGTCCAGGTACTTTTGCTCGCTTAATATAGCGCTTACGTGTTTTGTAGTTACTTTGCCCCGTTTTCTCGTCAATAGTTTTAGTCAGTTCTTATTATAATTAACTTAATTAAATTAGTTTAGCGATTCAGTTAAAGCAAATTAGAAATTAGCCATTCAATATTGAGTATATATAAACTATAAACATTTAAACTTCTCTAAAATTATTAATTTGAAACGTCACTTGCAGTATATTAATAATCAGAAGAGGAGTAGAAATACAGCCCTTTGACTACTTTCGTACAATTGCGAAATATTTGCGAAATGCGTGGAATGCGAATTCGAAATGCCGAGGTACTGCTGAAATATGCGAAACCCTGTTACAAATGTTTGCGAATATAATTACTATAAACTTCGCTGTTTATAGACAAAGTATGAGAACGCGACGCGTTAAAATTCAAATCAATAGAGTTATTTATAATATACATTTTACAAAAGATAATTGCAGCTAATTGTAAGTGCGATAATTGTTAATTGATGGAAGAATTTACCGTGTGTAATATTCATCGTGTATATACGCGAATTATATTTATTCATGCGATCCATAAGTGATTAAACAAACAATAAATGAAAAACGGTCAATCCGTGTTCATGCGAATACCGCGAGACAATAAACTATCGGTTATTTGATTATTTAATTAATGACGATTTGAAAATACGTTCGTATCGGTTTTTGTGAGAGCTGACCCGTTTTGCACTCGAGATTTTCTGTAATGTGTGCAGCACGTGTCAACCAGATCGAATTTGGGATGTGCGCGCGCGGCAGTAGAGTATTTATAGATCGTAGACGTTCCTCTTTAAACTATTTTTCGCAATGTTCCAATATCGGGACACTTGCGAACTGTCTCTGCAACGTCATATCTGCCTTTAAAAATCGTAGATCAATATTGCACAAATTTCTCAATTTTTACCATTTCTCGAAATTCACTAGAACGTGGAAAAAAATTGTCGACATTTTGCGTGAACAGGAATGTTTTTTTTCACCGTAACGTGACACGTAATCGATTGTTAGAGAATGATTTGCTTTATAAAGAAATATTATCGGGAATCCAATATTTCATATGTGAATATTTCATACGGTCCGATAGTTTCAATCCTTGACAATAACAGTAATCCTCTCATGATCCGAACGTCAATGAAAGCTCCAGTTGAATTTGGGATATGACTGAACCAATCTGTTTTCTCAATTTTCGTTCTTATCAGGGCCACGATCTTATCTGCCCCGGGATTCACGATTTCTGTCTTCAACGACTCTCTTGCACTGTAAACTTTCCTTTGTTCGATTGCTTGCCGCGGGCTTGTTTTCCGCGACATCGCTAACGAGCTCGGCTCCAAATATTGCATAATGAAGTGCACTTTGTTTTCTGCGCGTCGCGACGCAAGCTTTCTGCAGCAGAAGTAAAGATAATTGCAAACGTTATAATTATTAACTTGATGCAAAGGATGGCGCATATATATTAGCGCGCTGCTAGTACATTAGTACGCTACAATTATTCTTATATTATTTTTATTATTTTATATTATCCTTTATATTACGCTTTGCACCATGCTAATAATTATAACGTTTGCAATTATCTTTGCTTTTGCTGCAGGAAGCTCATCTCGCGACGCGCTAAAAACAAAGTGTTCTTTATTATGCAACATTTGGAGCCGAGCTTATTAATTGTATGTATGTATAATGTATGAAGTATGTACATATATGTGCATGTGTACGTGTGTATGTGCATAGATTTTTTATGTAAATTTAACAAACTAATTAACAGAGAATATCTTGTTATTAAAACATCGGATATTATAGCTTCATATGTGAAGAGTTTTTTAATGAAGATGAACAAATTGTGAATATACAAGCGCAGTATATTAGCAATTAGACAATACGAAGGATAATGCAGATAATCGCAAAATAATGGTGTGTTTAATAAAATTGTAAGAAAGGTAAATCACCTAAAATATGTATTTTTCGCACACATTGTGTGAACACCTAGAGCTGAAAGAGGTGAAAAGGCAAGCTACAAAACCCTCGAATACACATGAAGCTGCATTTGAAGCCGAGCTACAAAGGAGGTTCAAAATGGGTCACGTTTTTCCTTGCTTATTTGCTTCTAGAACTGTATGCATCCACGCAAAGTACCGGCTCCCTTTCTCCCTCTTTTGAAATTTACACGCGTATTTAGAGCTGCGTTTTCACTTCTCACATCAAAGTTCAAAGCGCAAATTTCAAAGCGCGTACCGAGCAAAAAGCTCAGTCATCAGTTGGAAAGATCATTTCAAACCGAGCGAAAAATTTTGCAGACGCGCAATTAAGTTAGAGTATTGGATGTTATAATAATAAGAAATTCTCATTAAAGTTGGTTTACTAAATCTACAGAAAAATTTCTCGTAAAAAGAAGTAAAATGTGAAGAAACTGGAAAAAATATTTAAGAACATGATGATTACGTGATCTGAAATACCAAGAAAAACTTGAAAAACACGTAATATTTTATAACAACGTGAATTTAAGACAGTCTGGAAATAAGTTGATCAATTATTCGTCGCATGAGAGAATTGGATACCTAATTCCGTTAAGTGGCGTGGTCGATATCGTTTACAGAGTAGAACAGGCGTACTATTGCAGGCTATTGCAGTTGCATTACAGAGTGCAGAGAATCCGCTACAATTAACGTGATTATTTAACGGCGTTCTCGTTGTGTACCCGCAATGTTTATTCGCTGTTCGCTCGTTACCGATGTTGTGTGCACTTCTCTGTACACGTGTCCACATGTAATACCAGGGGTCGGATTTACCCCTCGGTTATACACCGTCCACCCACTGTGTTGACCAGGCAAAACTGCGTCCAGGAAATGCAAAACCGTATTATCGTATTATTACCGTAATGACGACATTCGTGCCATATTTATGCCCATTTATCGTAGTTACGAGTTTACGATATTAATTATAATTATATGTTGATTATGCAGGAATATAATGATTTTAATCTAATTTCCAACTGAATAATTTGGTTTGGAATATAAAGAATTATATTCCAAGAATTATATATATTATTCCCTCCAAGAATTATATACATATTTCTCTCTAAGGTGTACATTTTGTACTCTACATAATTCATACCTTAAGGATTATTGCTAGTTTCTAGAGGACAATTTTAAACGAGAATATACGCTCTTGTAGCGCACAGGAAAATAAAACAAGTTGTCTTTGGGTATCCAAAAGGATTGCATAAATCGGCTTTCGATGCTTTATTGCAGAATCCCAGCAACTCATCATCAAGAGCATCAACGTTCCTTCCGCCGTGAAGATCGGCGACGCCGATCACGTGATCCTCGACTGCGACTATGCCTTGGAGAACACCTCGAGCCAAGGACTAGTGGTCAAGTGGTTCTTCAACGAGGACCAATTGGTCTATCAATGGATCCACGGCAGGTATCCCTTGACTGAAGAACCAGCCGCGAAATACGTCGATCTGGAGTACAAGGCCAGCAATGATCCCCTCACACAGTATCGAGCCATGAAGCTGGATAAGCCGGGTATCGATCTAACGGGTGATTACATGTGCGTGATATCGACGTTTGAGGATGAGCGAGCGGCGAACGCTTCCATGGTGATCTATTGTGAGTGCTTTCTACATTTATCAAGCATTTATTTGCTTTTTATTTATCGATCATATATCTCATCTCTCTGTTTATAAAAAAGCAATGCGCTTCTATTCTAAATTTTTTCTTTCGTGATAAATTATATATATATATATATATATAGCTTTAAAGCTTTATTAAAAATCTTGAATTTTATTTGTAAAATTTCTTCTCATCGTTATTAAGTTAGAAATTAGTGGATCTAAAATCTGTAGGTATAAACTGATGAGATCCACAATTGCTGTTATTCTTGAATATTCCTGATATTATTATTCTTGATGTTATTCAATCTTGTGCGATTTAATCATTTTAATTATTCTTGATATCATTAAAAGCCCGCTTATAACATATGTAAATTATCAAATTCATTTTATCAGAATGCTAATTACTTTAACATTATTACACAGAATTATCGCTTCTATAATCTTCTTGTCTATTGTGCACGTTGACCTCACTGACGATTCTTCTCCATTCGTCTCTGTCTTAAGCAGAGGCATCCACCACTTTCCACACTCTAGCCTCCTCCTTACATTCTCCTCGACTCCATCAATCCATTTTAAGTCTTTCTTCATCCCCTTCAACCTCCCCCCCCGCCCCTCAAAGGTTGCTGAATAATATCTTTCTGATTATCCTGTTTTCATCCAAACTTTAATTTCAGTTTTAATTTATTTTAACTCTAGATGTTTAGCTTAAATTCATTATTAATGAATAATAAAATTATAATATACATCAGTGTTTGTTACATCGCGTTATAATTATAAATTTGCTTTAAAATACAAAATATACATAACGTAATATTTGATTTATATTTCAAAAATATAAATGCGTAGTGTATCATTTATTAAAAAAATAAGATGGCTTTATTTCCCTCTAAGCGCTAGTTTCTCAATTTACGCTGTGGCGTAAATTTTCCTCAGGGTCGTTTCACTTTTACACGTTCACAAATCCTTCAATTTGCGCCGGCCACTTTTTATTTACATGGTTCCTGTTTCATGCTCAGGTTTCAATTTACGCGGTAGAACGGAATACTTTCCCGCACCCCACAGCTCAGAGGAAACGTTTTAATGCTGTTTAACGGTTTTTTTACCAACTAATTTACAAATTAATTTTCATCTCATAGGTTATTAAAACGCATCATTTTTTCCGCAATTTATACTATTTACCTCTTTAAAACATTTTTATTTCTGTAATTTTTGCAGCGCATATTGAATTCTTTATATAAATATTATAAAAACGTTTATTTATATGACTTTTACGGTACTATTTATACAAGTATCGATTCATCTAAATTCAAACATTTTATATTACATTTTTTTACCGCTGATATGTATTAATTTATTAATTATTACACAGAATGGATCGATGTCGCAATAAAAATTCGACATCTCAGCAAATATTTTACTTCTTTGCTGCTATGATGCCAATCACATTAGCAACGACATG